AGAGAGAGAGAGAGAGAGAGAGAGAGAGAGAGAGAGAGGAAAAAGAAAAAAGAAATGTTTCCATTTACCAGACTCTTAATATGACTTAGGTACGTTCTATGCTTTGTCTCTAAGTGCAGTAGAGGTGAAAAGGGAAGAGGGTACTATGGGGCCCACTTGCCCCTCCTGTGGTGCTGGGCCAGGTAGCTGGTGCCCAAGTCTGCCTTTAATTAGCAATAGGGCTCTGTATAAGGCATAGTCCCCTGTGGGCTCAGTTGTTTCATCTGTAAAATGGACAGACTCAGCTTTCATTCATCACACGGTTCTTAGCCTGGGTCTAGCTTGCTGGGCAGTGACTACATGCAGTTCTGTCGGAGGAGATGCACAAAGTCAGAATCTCCAAGGGGTCACCATGGCCCTCAAATATAATAGCCAACTGGAGTGGAAGTCTTTCCCACTGAAATTATTTTCCCCCTGAGCTACCAGTTGAGATTTAAGTCCAGGAGAAAAGCTATTTCAGCAAAGCTTTGTAGAAAGTAAATCTTGGAAGTGGTTTGGGCTTGGGAGAAGGACCTGCTGTTGGGGTGACGGCGGTGGTCAGCACACCGGCCATCCCACCCTGGGAGTATGCAGATGAAGCTTTGTGTGCCCACACCCAAAGGCACTTTTCTGCACGATGTCATGGCTGCATTTGTCCTGTAGTGGCGGAGTTAGATAGTGAAGACAGAAACCTTACGGCTTCCAAACAGAAAACAGTCACTGCCTGGCCTTTGCAGACTGCATCCTCTTAGCCTGGAGGAGGCACACTAACATCTTGTTAGAGACCTTGCTCCCTAAGCATTCAAGCAAAGCTCTTATGACGAAGCCCCTGGGACAGGGCTGTCAGGGTGGAGGCACAGCCTACGCCATACTCACAAAGGACGACCAGCCCCCGTTGTCCTCGTCATGGTTCTCTGTGGAAGCAAATAACACTGTCAGCAGCACTCGGAGAAGCTGTCACTTGGAGAAAAGGCAAAGAAATTTTCCACTTGATGTTCCATCTCAGGCCCCCATGCTACCTTCAGCAGACCTGGAAGTTAGAACCCGCTCTGCTCTCATCTGGATACAATTTTCCCCACCAGAATTTTCATTGAAATTTAATTCCTAATGTAATGGTGAGAAGTAGTGGGGAGGTCTTTATGAAATAGTTAAGTTGTGGGAGCTTAGCATCTTTTAGAGGGAGTGGATTAGCATTTTTCTCTGGACACAAGAACAGCTCTCCGCATAGAACAGAACTCTAAGACTGAACTGGATCTTATAGGAATACTTTGGACCCACAGAAGTGAATTGGTTATTGCGAGAGAGTGCTGTTTTGGTCTCTTCCACATGAGCTGCTTTGCTACCCCAGCGTGTGCTTTTACCATGTGGTACCATCTGCCATGAAACCCTCACCAGGAGCAGAGCCCTGAGGCCTTGAGGACTGTGAGCTCAATAACTGCCTTCACTCATTATGTTTTAAAATATTTATTTATTTATTGTTATAAGGACTCACTATGCAGCTCTGACTCATAGTGACCATTCTGTTTCAGCCTCTCCAGCACTGAGATTACAGGTGTGTACCACCACACCCAGTTTTGGGTCCTGCACGGCATGCAGTAACAGGGATCAAACCCAGGTCCTTGCGCTTTGCCAGGCAGGCATTTAGAATGCTGATCTGTCTCCCTCTCCTTCATTTACAAAGTACTCAGGCTCAGGTATTTTGTTATAGCAACAGAAAACAGGGGCCTATTCCACTAAAGGGCAATAGTGGTTCTTCATCTTTCTTATATATGAAAGACATCTAGGGGTGTTTCAGAGTATGTGGGTATCTGAGACCCTGTTATGGTTTGTGTCTAGTTGTACCCCCAAAAGCCTCATGCAGTTGTGGGACAGCTTCTGGAGTTTGTGATTGATTCTTGATCCAATGCTGGGATTACAGGTGTGAGTGCTACACCCAGGCCCTGGGGTGAGTAATTCGCATTACAATGTAAGGAGGTAAGAGAGGCTAGCGAGCTGCCTGAACTGTTGCCTCTGTCTTGCACTTTGCCACCACCATGAATAGTTGCTCTTTGCCCTGTGCCACTCTGCCTTGGAGCCAGCTGAGTATGGATTGAAACCTATGCTAACTGTGATCTAGATCAACCTTTCCTTCCTTCATTTTAGCTATCGGGTATTTTGTCCCAGCAACAGGAGAATAGTAACTAAGACGGGCCCTATCCCTAGGGCTTCTGATTCAGCAGAACTAGAGGGTCTAGGATTCTGCATATCAACGCTATGTCCAAATGAACAGTGGACCACTGTTTTAAGGCTTCAGAAGCAGAAGAATGGCTAAGTTCAGGTGCTCAGCCAAAGGCTGGGTCTCTCTAGGCTCAGAGCTTTGTGAGTTCCTCAATATGTCTCTGTAGAGGGGTCCACGTAAGCATGCACCCAGAAAGCCAGGTGCCCTGTAGAGAGGTATCTCTCCTCCCTTCATTTGGGTCTGACGCTTTTTCTGAGTAAAAATTGGCTGGCAAAGGGTCACCCACACAAACCCCAAGGAGCATCAGGAATGAGAAGGCCAAAGAATCTAAGCATCCATCACCCCTATTATGCCTTTCATCCCTGACGTCTTTACCTGTCTCTTCAGGAAACGGCTGGAACTGGGGTCTGCGAAGGCAAAGAACGTGCATTAATGGCATGTTGATGTGCAGAGAGCTCTCATGCGCCTCAGTCCGGCCCTGCAAGTGGAATCCCTAATGAAAGGTATGTCTTACTGTTCAGGACTCATACCCTTTTGCTTGGTAAACAGAACTAGACTGCCCCCCACCCCCCAAGTTCTGGAAACCACCAAAGCCACACTTGTGGCACAACTTGCAGCTTGTGACTGCCTGACATGCCTGGGGAAGTTCCCCTAATGTTCCAGACACTGGGGCATGAGGCAGTGCAGGAAGGAGTCCCTTCCCCCTCCTTGAACACCACCTTCAAGACCTCGGGGACTGAGGGGACCATCACAGGTCAAACAGTGATGCAAAGCCCATTCTGTGCCTTGCTTTCAAGGTTCAACTTGGGCTCTGAAGTTCTTGGGTTTCTGTTAGCAACACTGAGCCCCAAGCTTCCCCACTCACTTGCGTGCAAAAATGCTTCTCCTTTCTTCATTCTTGTTGATTTCTTGACTTAACTTACTGAGAATCCTACAAGATAAAGAGACAGATGAAAAGACAAAATTTTATTTGACCAGCACTGGGCTTCCTGGAGAGCCCAGAATTTGCCTAGTCTATGTGACCTCAGAGCAAGTGGGCCACCTTTGGCCAGTCTCATACCTTCATAACTTCAACTTCAAGGGATCTCCTCACTTCCTGCCGCAACCTGTCACCCTACTCCGCAGCACCAGACCTTGCTATGCCCTTGCTTCCACTCCTGCTCCTATCCAAACAGTCCTCTCTCTTCTCTGCTATCTGTGTCTGAGCCTTCAAAGCCTAACTCAACACCCTCCCCCCTTTAAGACTTGTCAGCTCACACTTGGATCCACCTGATTTTTGAGATCTTCAAAGCATAGTAGTTCAATGGATTGGATTATTATTCCTGAGGCTAAGTCCTTTGACTCTTGTTTTAAAATCATTGTGAATGTTGCTTCTGGAAATTCCCTAAACACTTCCTAGACCTCAGTTGCCCATTGCATTTTTCTTACCACAACTTGTAACAGATTTTTCTTTGTTCTTTTATTGTTGTCCATTCTCCCCTCTCTCCCTCTACCTAATGACATGGATGGATCCTCACAGAAACTTAGACAAGTGTTCTCAATAAAAGCACAGCCTGCAGGGGGAGAGATTTCTCTGTTTATCAATTCCCTTTGGCCAGCCTTACCCTATACACCCAGCCTGCAAGTACTTCCATGGCTGCAATAGCAAATCAGCAGGCTCCAGGAAAGGGAGGGCCTTTGTCATCAAAACATGCCCTACACTCTAGATCCACCATCCATTCTACGTTCTCTAACCTGAAGGACATGAGACTCCAGCTTCCTTTAACCTCCATGGATGAGACCCAGAGGATTCTCATTAGGAAATGTGCTCAGTATTCTCTAAGATTTCATACAACTGGAAGTGACCTCACATTTGAATATAGTCCAATATTTTTTTTTCTTTTTACAGAAGTGATAATGGCCCAGATAAAAGAAGAGACCCATAGATTAATGATGAGGACCACCTACCTCCCCAACACACACATCAGTCCATGAGGCAGCCTCTCTAATTTCCAAGCCAACATCCTCCCAACATACTCTATCCATGTGTCAATTGTGTTTATGCTGCAAGTGCCCTGTGAGGAGACACCTTTTCACCTCTGCCCATCTAAGAGAGTGACTTGCGACCTATATTTCTCCTGCTTAGTGACCATCTCAGGATGGTTCAGTCAGCAAGGGCAGTCCTTGCCTTCTTCATCACTTCCCAAACTCCAACTCTCCCTCTTCCTCCCCAGTAACTGCCACTCAGAACCCTCCTACCTCACAGGAATGAGAGGATAGACAAATGGATAAACACATAGAGGACAGAGGAAGAGAGAGGGCAATGTGTGACCCTTCACAATAACATCTTTATTGGAATTTCAGAATTTCATGACCACCTAGTGGAGGAAGTTCTTTAAACAGGAGGCAGCTGCTTCCTGGGCGGCTTCTGCTCAAACCATCACAGTGCCTGCATGATTATTTTTTTGGTTCTTTAATTTAAAAAGGAGCTGGGAAAAGCTAATGGGCATGCTGAAGGTCTCCTATGGGCTGGTCAGGGAGCCCCGGGAGGGTCCAGGACCCTGCGCTGTTCTGGCTGTGCCAGCTGCAGCAGCCACTTCCATGTGGTCACCAGTTTGCTCAGTAATGGGCCTTCGTCATGTTGAGGACACTGCTGAGCTCTCAAGGTGCATCAGCAAACAGAAAAGACAAAAGAGCTCTACTTAGGGGAGCACAGGGCCTGTGAAGAGAAGTGGATGAAAAAGAAGAGCGAGGCTTAGTTAAGGAGGTAAAATCCAAAATGACTATATCTCTGGGGTGGCAGTGGGGGTGTCTGGGACAGGGAAACTGGAATGAGGCCTAGGATAAGATTGCAATTTAAAGCAATCTGGCCACAATGAGGAGGTGATATTTCAGCAAAAATTTGAGGAAGGTGGGGTGCGCCCCAGTTCACACCCGCATCCCGCCGAGCTCTGCTGAGCTCTGACAGGCCCTCGGTGCTGCTCTTGATCTTGCAAAGGCCTCCTGCTTTCTGTGGTGGGACCTTTTTCCAGTATCTCTAACAGCCAGGCTGGGGCTGCTGGGGCTCTAACTGGGCAAGGCAGGAAATGCCAAACCGCAGGCCCACAGAGCAGCAACAGAGAGCTGAGCGCAGCATGGGGCCTAGCTGTCCAGCTTGCAGCAAAGCTTGGGTTCCCAGAGTCCTCCTGCTTCGATGGGCTGCTGAGAATGCCTCTTATGGCAGGACTGCTGGGGCACCGGTGGGGTGGCAGTGCTGGCAGCAGGGAGGTGGCTGCTGCCCCTGAGGGCACGCTTGCCAAAGTTGCATTCCATCACCAGAGGACACAGTGACAGTGAGCGGCTGAAGGTTGCTCATTTCCTTCCATCCCAACAACCCCAGGCCTCACTCCACACCAGGGAAAGAAACAGAGAGGCTAGGTAGCCACAGACGGTGGCTCCCTCTGATCCCCTTTATTTGTGAGTTGAGCTGACCCTCAAAATGGGGCTGAACTGCTGCCAGGAAGTCGGGCCTTTGCAGGAAAGTGCTCTTCTATGATGACCAGCTCCTCCTCCTATTACACAGTTTTTCACTCAGTCCTTTTCTCTGCCCCACATTTCACCTTTTCTTGAAGGAGCAAAATATTCTCCCTTAGGAGACCTGAGAGTCAAACATTCCAAATTCTTTCTTCTCAAGTGTCAGACTGAGAGGAGCCAAGATGTCTGTCTTAAGACTCAGGAAAGGGGTACAGGGAGATGGCTCAGTGGAATAAGTACTTCCCTGGCAAGCACAAGGGCCTGAGTTCAATCCCCGGTTCCACCAAAAAAGAAAAGGAATATATATATATATATATATATATATATATATATAACCAATTTGGTTTGAAACTGTCTCATTGCTATTTGTTTCTCAACAAAATTATGGGGGAAAAAAAAAGACTCAGGAAAGGGCCTTGACAGTCATCTTAGGCCATAGAGGGGCAGCATGCGTGGGCAGGAAGTGATAATCAAGGGCAACGTGGAGACCCACCTCTCACCCATGTCCTTCACGCCCACAGTGTGTGTAGTGTATCCACTTGTGACTTACAACCATGAGAGGGCCAAACAAATACAATTAATCTTGTTTTGCCAATGAGGAAGGGGAGGCACTGACAGGAGTTTTCCAAAGACCACACAATCCATGTGAAGGTGGAGCTGAAACAGCAAATCAATGTTCTAAACTTCGTGGAAGGAAACCAAGTGATAGCTGGGAGAAAGTGTCCCTGGTGAAGGAGACTGTGGAAGGTGAGGAGGGGAAGTTAGCTGGGCTGGGATTAGCCAATCACAGGAAGAGGGAACGAGCATGTTGGATTCAGGCTTCATAATTGTTTCAGTTGTGTTGAGGCCTGTTTTTATTCTTTCATGGATGTAAGAATGTTCTGTTCACTTCTGAGTCCCCCCTCAGCATCTTCCCCTCTTCTCTGTCTCAGTTATAAAATGACGTACTAGGTAGATGAGACAGGAGGCCGTCTCTGCTATTAAGAGACTCACAGCTTTATCTGGAGATAGGTAAAAGTTCTGCCTTACTTCTCTGCAGGATCTTAGATTTCCCAAGCTTGATTTCACTTCTGGCTATGGGCATAATGAGAATTAACAAGAGTGTTATCTAATACCTATCTGCTGCCTACTCCACCCACCCAAGTACTCCCCTCACTTTACTTCTTAAGGTGCATTGTGGATTTTAATATAAAATTACAACATTTTCTCCTTTAATAAACTCCAAATAGGCATCGGCAGACTTTCAACGTGCATTTTACTGATTTCATCAAACCATACTCAGGTGTACCATGAGGTTTAAACCCGGACCCTACAAATGGATGCATCATTGTTTCCTGTAAGAAGCCACCAGTACTACAATATTGAAGATATCTTGAGATGAGCCCTGTCTTGACAAAGTGCCTACATTTTCAAAAATAAGGGTGAGGGGATGGAGAAACAGCCTTTCTCTCCAGAATCTGCCTTCTTCCAAAAATCCACTTAATATGGAATGTTAAGCACTGGAGAAGGAAATAGAAATACTGGGAAGAGTATATTATTGTTTTGATTTACTATATAAATAGGCACAATTTCTTTACATAGCCCTTTAAGCTAACAATCAAGACAGATCAACCTATGTACAAGGAAATGAGTGAATAGTTATTGAACATATTTGTATACAAGGTAGATAATAAAACCAAGGCTGAAACTATTGAAGTAAATCCCCCAAGGTTCTCCTGCTGCCAGGAGCCAGTCAGATGTAGAATCTGTATCACTCCCCCTCCAAAACTCTAAGTCCTTTCTCTTCTTTAATTCTCCCCCTCTAGCAAAATAGAATAATTAATAAAAATGTGAAATTGCACAAGTCAAGATTTCACATACAAAATGAGTTCACACTTATTCAGGGAATATCATTATTTCCCCTGATTTTCCCTTTAATCCTTTGAGGTGGGTTCTATGATTAGCCCCACTTTATGGATGAGGGCACAGGCGAGGAAGCTGGCATAACTTGTCTCCACTCTGTAGTTCATGAATGGAAGAATTAGGTTTCAAGTAGGCTAATCTCAGAGTCTTCATTTCTCACTAAGTGTTCCTGTCTCCCTGTTTTTATACCTAAAGCAGTATTTTGAAACTAAAAAGCCTATATCATCTATGTAAGTGATTTTTTTTTTTATTTTTTATTGTCTGGAAAACTGAGGTCATCTAGCTCATTCTTTAGGAGACTGCAGCTGGCATTTGCTGTATGTTTCTTCTAAAGGGACTCCAACTCTCTGGCCCCACTCAGGATGGCCCTACCTCTCAATGTGTCCCCCATGTTAACCCTCCCTGTTCGATGGGTTGGCCTCATAGTTTATCTGGTGTCTGCATTCAAACATAGTGGAAGGCCTGTGCCCTAGGCCAGGTTTTTGTTTCATCTTTCAAATAGCTAAAGAGGTACCCCACCACTGCCCCACCTGCAAT